AAGGCAGATGCAAGGAAGAAAAGAAAGGGAAGCAGAAATCTCAGAATGAGAAATGAACATATTTATTTCTGTTTCTCTCATTGGCTTCCCTGAGAGGATCAGCAGAAATTCTCATGGGTATTCTCATCCCATCCTGACCGCTGCTCAGGGCAGGGGCCAATTGAGTGGGAAGTCACTCCAAAAGAGCAGGAGCAGGAGCAGGGAATGGAGCACTTTGTGTGGCTTATGGGGACATCATGGGGGGTCACTGTGGCCCATGTCCACAGAGTAGTTAATGGTTGTCTCCAATCCAGGCTCAGGGAAGCTCTGGGACTCGCTGTCATACACAGAATACTGCTCACCCTCCTCCTTGTCCTCATCACTGCCCTCATCCTCATCCTCGACCTCATCCTCATTCTCATCCTCGACCTCATCCTCATCCTCATCCTCATCCTCATCACTGCCTTCATCCTCCTCCTTTTCCTCATCACTGCTTTCATTCTCATACTCGTCCTCATCCTCATCACCATACTCATCCTCATCACTGCCCTCATCCTCATACTTGTCCTCATCACTGTCCTTATCCTTGTCCTTGTCCTTATCACTATCAGTGCCCTTAACCTCATTCTTGACCTCATCACTGTCCTTATCCTTGTCTTTGTCACTGCCATCAATGTCCTCGACATTCACCATTTCCTTGGACTCGGGAGGACTGAAGCCCATGCTGGTGGTGGATGACACAGACAGCTTGGGCTCTGATAGGCTTGTGGGTATCTTCCCCTCTTCTGTAGTAGGCTCCTGAGTGCTGTGTAGCTGGAGGATTGGCAGCTCAATGTTGAGGGAAGGGCCAGGCTCTATGGCCTGGGCCTGGGCCTGGGCCTGGGCCTGGGAATGGGCCTGGGCCTGGGAATGGGTCTGGGCCTGGGCCTGTGCCTGGGCCTGGGAATGGGCCTGGGCCTGGGCCTTGGTCCGGTCAGTTACTGGCTCAGGATGCATGGTAGATTGTGGGGTGAGGGGCACTGTGCTACGCCATGAAGGGCCAAAATGGGGAACACGATGGTGGGAGGTGCTGGCGTGGGAGGCACTGACCTGGGAAGCACCAACCTGGGAGATGCTACTGGGATGGTGGGCTCCCAGCCGCGAGGCCTGCCTTGAGACCTGATGTAGCAAATGGTCCTCCTCCAGCTTGTGCAACAGGCAGCGCCAGTCTATCTTCGAGGACAGGCGGATATGGGAGCCCTTCACTTTCTTGAAGCCCAGGAAAAGGTCCATGAGTGTCTCAGTGATTGGGAAGGAGATGAAGCCAAGCTGCTTTTTGAGGTTGTTCTCAAACTTGTACTTGCAGATGAGCAAGGAGACTGCCTGCTCAACCAAGAAGTTGATGAGCTCCTCGTACCAGGGGTTGGAGAGGTGGGATATGCTGGACTTGGATGAGATGGAAGGCAGCGACTTCTTCTTCGTGAACTTGACACTGGGGCTCTATGTGGCAGCCAAGGAGGGAAAAGGAGACATGTCACATCTTGTTGGTCTTACCTTTCCTGCTGCCTTGTGACACCCATCACATCTCCTTGGCAGCCCCACCAGCCCAGCCTGTCACAAATATAGAAGTCATACTTATCACACTAAGGGTATAAACCCTACCACATTTTCTATGCTGTGATACTCAATAGCCAACCCTCATGATCACTTCACCTGCCTCACCTATTAGGCCTGCAGCAAAGCTAGGGACCTCAGCCACGGTGCCAGCAAACCTGAGCCTGAAAAACCTGGGCTTCTACAAGCTGATGCTGCAGCCCATGTTCAGAGAGAAGCACACCTGGACCTTAGTGAAGGCACGATTGAGGGACTGCTAGAGACCCACCAGGGTAAAATCACCTATGTTGTCCACATAGTCCCCCTGGGCAACTTTCCCTAAGCAAATCAGAGAGGCTGGAGAGTCCTGCAATTGAATTTAGAGGGAACTAGACTCTAGGATGCAGAGTCCCCACGAGGGACAAGACCCTTTCCATATGGGAGGACCTCCAAGATTCACATACAAACATTAAAAAATATATATCCAGGATAAAAAATAGCCTTTATTCATCTTTGACAATATTTAGTAGTAGCTAGGCCAGGATTCCTGGTATTCCAGCAGCTTGTACTATGCCCAGCAGGTTTCCATAATGCAGGTCAAGAGAGACCTTGATCTTGGGCACCTGCCAGTGACAGTGGCTGCTAGGAATGGTGGGTAACAGGGTCACTGCCCTTCAAATTTGTCCTCAAGGTTCCATGCCCCACCCTTGAGGGGATTACCTTTGAACTCAATGAAGCCGAAGAGGAGAGGATGGGGAAAAGGTAGGAGGAAAGAGGGTGGGAGGAGACAAGTGGAGGTGGGACTGGTCCCCTGAGGCAACCCTGACTAGATGCCAACTCCACTGTGATTCCAGGTGCAGGCAGGGTGAGATGCAAGCCATGGCAAGGCTTGGTTTTCTGGCTGGAACTCTGGAACACAGGTGTTTTCTGTAATTTGGGATCTAAGTCAGGAGTCCCCTGCCTGGGGTGAAGTGAGGGGCTAGGGACATTGGTCTCTTCTGTAGGTTTCACCTTGAGCCTGAGTTTGGTGGCCACCTGAGCATTAGACACAGGGGGGGAGCCCCGTTTGCCCTTGTTTTTTCTGGGAGTTATCTTGGAGCTGGAGGCTCTACTGAGGAAAGAATCATAGTGCTCCCTTCTCCTAGTGGGTGTGACCATCCTGGAGTCTTGTGGTAGCAAGTTAAATGACAATGCTGGGTTGGGATCGCAGTTGACAGGAAAAAGAGGGCAGCCATCTGGGCGGCGGGCACAACTGAGCTTGTCCACAGCCTGGCTGACCACAGTCTGCAGAGCAGGAAAGAGGTGGTGCTTAGCCAGGAAGTCCAGGGTGCAATGGGGCTGACGGACTGAACAGTAGCCAGGCAAGTCAAAGGATGCTGGCTGGCTCAGCAAAGATTTCATCTCCTTGTTGAATTCTCGTTTGAGGAAAAACAGCTCTCGTTCTCCAGGTCCCATCTCTGATGCTTCAGGAGTGCCTGGTCTGGAGCCCAGCAGCCCTGAGAACCAAGACAATGGCTGCTCCCGGGTCCGCTGGCTGCTGGCCTGGCTGCCCAGTGAGTCCCATAGCAGGGAGTCCCTCTTGGAACTGGGCTGACTCAGGCCTTTCTGCAGAGAGAGAGAGGGGGAGGGGATTCTGAGAGGTGTCCAGAAGCAGCCAAGCACGCTTGGCCCTGGCCTGTCCATCCCCCCCACTAGCCCCAGTCATGGACCCAGATCTCACCCCTTTCTTCTCCAACCGCAGTAGTCGCTTGAGGTTTTTCTCCAGTAGAAGTTTGTCCCTCATGGGTGGCACTGAGCCTAAGCCTTGTGCACCCAAGTCACTGTTCCAGCTGTGGGAGCCCAGACAGCCAGCTGTGAGGCTGCTATGGGAGTCAGACATGGAGCTGGAGCAAGATGGGTAATTGTTGGGACGTCCAGTACAGAGGCTGGGCTGAGCACGGTGTCGGTGCACAGTGCTGAAGCTGGGTCGAACACGTGGCCGCCTACCACTTGGCACCTCAATTGGGTCCTGGACCTCTACCAGTGGCACCCCAGCCTCTGTCTTCATAGCAGCCATGCGCTCTGTTGCCTCCTCCACCACTGTCTGTAGGCTGTCTAACACCTGGCCCTCAGTCAGGAAATCCAAGAAGCTACCAAAAGCCTGAGGGCCCTTAGCAGTTTGGCGGTGGCCCCGGTAAGCTGAGTTGCCATCCATTGATGGTGGGTGGGGCATACGACCCAGCTTGGAGGCTGACCCCATTTCTGGCAACAGTGGCTTCTTGGGTGGCTGCACCTAAGCAGACAGGCTTTTCACAGTTTGCAGGATGCCCTGCAGGGGAGGGAGGTCCCTGTCCTAGGGGGCTGCTAGGAGCTAGATGGAGATTGAACAGTGGAAGAAATTCCAGTTTTGTTTTTTTGGTTTTGGTGGTGCTGATGATTGAACCCAGGGTCTTGAGTATGCTAGGCAAAAGCTCCACCACGGAGCTAATTCAAAGCCCAGGAATTGCATTTTAGAGTATGCTAATCCTAGGTTTGGACCCTGACTTTGCCATCTTCAGGCTGTGTGACAGTGTCCACAATAGCCCCTTTTGAGGTTCAACCTCCACTTTCACAAATAAGGATATATTTATGATTTCCCTGAAATGTTCCCCAAACCTACATTTCACATACACAAGACCTAGTCTGAAAGCCCACTTCTACCCTTATATGTGGTGGGATTGGGCAAATGATAAAACCCCTCTGAGTCTCTGTGGTTCTGAATCTCTGCAAGGAGCAAGCCATCCCTGTCTCCACTGCTGTGATGCAGAGAACACAGGAGATCCTGAGCCCTGTTTTACATATGGCTGCTTCTCTAACTTGAGTCCTGGACTCTGAGATGACACCATGCTCATACTCAGAGTTCCTAGTTGATCCAGGTCCCTCTTGTGACACTGGAGTCAGGGGACATTGGGAATGAAATCAAGGGAGATCAGAGCCCAGCAAGGGGTCGTAGACAGGTCAAGCCTATAATAAGGACTTCACTAAGAGGACCAGAGAGGAGATCAATAGGAAACAAGAACGAGTATTAGTAGTCCGTGGCATCAGGCTCGGATCCTGCTAGGCACACTTACCCGTGCTATGTACGTACTGTGGCCAGCCTCATCGTCGGCCAGGTATCCTGAGTGGTGGCGACAGCTGGCCATAATGCAAGCAGCCAAGCCCACTGTCCGCCTTCTCTCTTCAGTTCCACAACAGATTCCACTCTGCAGGACGCGGGAAAATGGCGTAAGGGTCTCGATGGTGCGCCCAGGTTTCCACGAGTCCAAGTTTCTTTCCGTCCGTCCCTGACTATGTCAGTGGCCCCGGGGTCAGCTGGTACCTCGCACCCCACACTCCGTGTCCTTTATAACTCTTCCTCTGCTCGGAGCCCACTAGGCGTCCGTGGACTGCCCCCAATTGGAGTCGTAAGGGTGGGGATCTCTGGGGACGTCCGTATCCTGTCTCAGTGGTCTCGGGGTCGGGATGTATCTGACCCTCTCTCCTCTAAACCGGGGCCTCCTGGCGTCCCACCCTGGCTTATGATCGACCCGCTCACCAGAGTCCTACCTTGCTCGGCTAGCTTGTGTGGTCTGTGCGCGCTAATTGACCACCTCATAGAGAGCTGGATTGTGTTGGGGGGGGGCTCCCTGCTCGATTATTTAAATACCGCCCCCTGATTGGTTAACAAGGGTCCTTTTGCCCACTTGCTTCCTACGACACAATAGTTGGGGGCGGGGCCACGATGACTCCTCTTCCACTCCCACTGCCCCGCCCCGGCTCTGATGCCTTCACAGTCACAGGCGACTCCGGTGGCTGTGGATTTCGCTCTCTGGCCAGGGGCTCTGAATCTGGGGAATCGGATCTGTGACCCTAAACTGCCCCCAAATGAGTCTAAGGGCAAAAGCCATGGCCTCCAATCTCAATACAAACACACCTTCCTCAGTTTCTCCTGGTAGTTGCAAAACCCTCGGCTTCCTGCTCTTATTTATTCTTTCCAGGGGCCTGCTCCCCTTGCCCAAGGTAATAGACCACACAGAGTCTGTCTGAGCCCTTTTCTGCAGTCTTCCTGAGAACAGAGGAAAAAGTCCCAGCTCTCAGTTACAGGCCTAGCCAGCTTCAATTCCTGGCTGTGCTGTTTCTTGAGGGTGTGATTCAACCTGAGCATAGACTCCTTGTGTGAAAATAGGACTAACATCCTTCTACATAGGGAGTACAGCATTACATAAAATCTTCATACAACACACTTGACACCCTAAGAGATGCCCTATATAACATTACCACATTCCCTTTCCTTTCCTCTTCTGTCCAACAGATTCACCACAAACCCCATGCCAGAGTCTACCACAGCATGTTGTTACTTGTCTACCAAATGGTGCTCCTTTGGGGCAAGGACTGAGACAGTCAGCCCTTTCCAGTGCCTGGCACCCAGGAGGTGCTTAATAAATGCTATCTTCCACTTTACAACCTCAGGACTTCTGGCCTTTCCAGGATCAGAGTGGAGAACGGTAGTTAGTTGAGGTCTGCTAATTCAATAATTAGTATGATTGAACACAACAGTCTGTATGTCAAGAGCTTGGTTGAAGGGCTTTTTGAGTCCTCCATTACCTACAAGGCTCCATGAGGTATTATTTGTTATTCTCAAGTTCTACTCTACCTTCTCTTCCCCTAAGAGGACTAAGAGGATCAGAGGAGGCCTAGGTGTAGGCCCAGAGTTGCAGGGACTAATCCCAGATTCACTACTCCTCCCCTCTCTGACACTCAGTTTCCTTATCTGCAAAACACAAATGACATTACCAATCTCAAAGACTGGACACAAATACCATGATTTCCATAGTGAAAAATAAATCAAGAGAGTCACATTACAATGAAAACTGTTTGTCATCATGGTAACTAGTGACATAATCATAGGTAAGGTAAGGCTTTCTGGACCCAAAGAGCTAAAAAATTAAGTTATAAATGTAAAACTTGTTACTTTGGACGGAGCTCCAGAGACACAGAGGCTAATCTTTCTCAAATGAAGCCATTATCATGACATACATGTTCATTTTCTTGTTAAGAGCTTTACTAAGGAAATGTCTCTTCTTAGAAAAATAAGTAAAGGACAATAGGCAATTTTAAAAAATCAAAATAGTTAATAACATGAAAAATGTTCATAGGCACTGGTATACAAAAAAAAAATTACAAGAATGCAATAGCATTGATGTGATCATCTTTGGATGGTGAAGTGAAATTAGGTGTATTTATCTTCTTAGAGAATACTGGAAGTACACTACCCAGAAAGTTAGCAATGGTGATCTCTGGAAAGAGTAAAGGAGTTTTTCTTTTTCGTTTTTTGTTTTTCTCCTTTTCCTTTCCTTTCTTTTTCTTTTATGTTGTTATTTTAAACAAAGAAAAAAAAACACAAAAGAAAAAAAAACAAAATAAAAACCCATTTCTCAACATTCACCTTTTTTTTTTTTCCTTCTTCTTCTTCTTTGGTTCTGGGGATTGAACCCAGAGGAGCTTAACCACTGAGACACCTCCTCATCCCTTTTTATTTTGAGTCAGTCTTGCTAAGTTGCTTAGGGCCTCACTAAATTGCTGAGACTGGCTTTAAACTTGCGGTCCTCCTGCCTCAGCCCCCCCCAGGTACTGGGATTACAGGCGTGCGTCACGGCGCCCCGCTCTGCCGTTCACTTTATTAGTCAAGGAAAGTTCGTCCTGTTGTAATTATAAATGCAGTCTTGAACTAGTTCCAACAGAGCAAAGTCGGCGGAGTGGTTACAGAGCCAATTAGGAACCACTAGGTGGTGACAACAAAGGCGAAGGATAGCCGAGACTAGGCGTGTGCGTCAGGGCGGGGTTTTGGGCAGCGTTCTTGGGCGGGGCCTGGGCTGTCTAGACCACACCCCTCAAGTCTCCATCAAAGGTTTGAAGCTGCCATGGCTGGTCCGCGCGTGCGGCTGGTGGTCACCGCAGATGACTTCGGTTACTGTCCGCGGCGCGATGAGGGCATCGTGGAGGCCTTCCTGGCAGGGACTGTGACCAGTGTATCCCTGCTGGTTAACGGCGCGGCCGCGGAGAGCGCGGCGGAGCTGGCCCGCAGGTGAGGGCGGCCCCTTACGGGATCCAGCGGGTCTGGGGATGCATTTGCCCCGCGGCGTCTGGGCTCCAGATCCTGTTCCGCCCACAGGCACAGCATCCCTACCGGCCTCCACGCCAACCTGTCCGAAGGTCGACCCGTAGGCCCAGCCCGCCTAGGCGCCTCGTCGCTGCTGAGCCGCGAAGGCTTCTTTCTGGGCAAGATGGGATTCCGGGAGGCGGTAGCTGCCGGAGACGTGGCTTTGCCTCAGGTGCGGAGGTGCGGCAGCAGGAGGATGCACGCGTTTATCCCCAAAGCTCGGCCCGGAGATTACCATGAAGTCGTTAGGGACAGGAGCGGCAAGATCCTTCTCTTATTCAGTCTTACAGTTGTACAAGAAGGGAATCTTCTGTAGCTGCTCCCTGAAGCTCAAATATCTATGCTTCTTCCAGGTGCGGGAGGAGCTGGAGGCCCAATTAAGCCGCTTCCGGGAATTGCTGGGCAGGGACCCTACGCATGTGGACGGACATCAGCATGTGCACGTACTCCCAGGTTCGTGGGTTCAAGCTCCCAGGTCGGGGGGCTTAGCTCCCAGGTGAGGAGATGTGCTCCTCTCTGAGGCGGCTTCGTCAGCAGGTGTGTGTCAGGTGTTTGCTGAGTCGCTGCAGGCTTCTGGGGTGCGCTTCACACGACTGCCGCTAGAACGTGGTGTGAGCGGCTGCGCGTGGCTGGAAGACCCAGCCCGTGCCTTCGCCTGCACAGTGGAGCGCGATGCCAGGGCAGCTATGGGTCCTTTCTCCCGTCATGGCCTATGGTGAGCACCGGACTCCCAATCCCGACCCCATCCCCAGAGTCCCACGGGTTGGTTCACTTGTCCAGAGTGTCCCTTTTTCAACCTGGAAAAAGGTCAGGCATCGACTGGCTGCCCCACTCTAGTTCCTTCCCGCCCTAACCCCTAACTAGCCTTCAGGATCTTCCTGCTCTGCCATTGATGCCCCAGCACCTACAGGTGGACGGATGCTTTCGTGGGCCTGAGCACTTGCGGCCGACACATGTCTGCTCACCGCGTACTGGGGGCGCTGGCGAGAGCCTTGGAAGATATCCCTGCAGGCCATGCCCTGACAGCCGAGCTGATGGCACACCCTGGTTACCCCAGTGTGCCTCCAGCCGGGGGCTGTGGTGAGGGCCCTGATGCTTTCTCCTGCTCTTGGGAGAGGCTGCATGAGCTGCGGGTCCTCACAGCGCCCACTCTGCGGGCCCAGCTTGCCCAAGATGGCGTGCAGCTCTGCGCCCTTGACGACCTGGACTCCAAGAGGCCCCGGGAGTCCTCTGCAAGGCCACTCTGGAACCCTTCTTGGAGCCCTGCCCCACCATAACTCCGACAGTGAGCCGATTGCTAATGCCCCTTATAGGTGTGGGGGAAAGGGGCCAGAATAACCTCTGGGCACAGCCTGGAACCATGGCCTGGGCAGGAACCCACTTCCCACAGTGAGACACTGCCTGCTTTGTGCCCAGGTCCTCATGGTTCAGAGTGACAGCCAGGTATTAAGGAAGCCACTCTTGGCTGCATGCAGGCCAAGACAATGACATCTGGGCCTGCAGAGCATTTGGTGACAATTCACATTGTAATGTAAACCCCTGACTGGGCAGGGGTAGTGGGCAGGGATTGGCTGTAAATAAAATGTGTCTTTCAGACTTGGGTGGTTTGTAAACAGTGCTTGGGAAACCATGAAACAAGAATGTACACAGTAACTGCTTTGTGGCCCAGACCAAGTCAATATTCTACGCAAATATTCTGTGTTCTGGTTTTGTTTATGTTTAGGAATGTGTATGGTGGGTTTTTGTTTTTGTGGTTTTTGTTTTTTGGTACTGGGGGTGCTTTTACCACTGAGTTATATCCCTAGCTTTTTTAATTTGTTTTGGAGTTTTGAGACAGGGTCTCACTAAGTTGCTTAAGTCCTTGATAAGTTCCTAAGGCTAGCCTCCAACTTGCCATCCTCTTGCCTTAGCCTCCCAGTCACTGGGATTACAGGCATGTGTGACTGTGCCTCACTGGTTAGATTCTTGCTGTGTCATCCAGTCTGGCCTCAAACTTTTGGGCTCAAGCAATCCTCCATCCTTAGTCTTCCAAGTAGTTACAGAACTACAGGCACATACCACCGCACTCAGCAATACTGAAGTGGTTTTTGTTATTGTTGTTTTGGTACTGGGAACTGAACTCATTGGTACTCTACCACTGAGCTGCGTCCCCAGTCCTTTTCATTTTTTAGTTTGAGACAAGATTTCACTAAGTTGCTGAGGCTGGTCTTGAATTTGGGATTCTCCTGCCTCAACCTCCCAAGTAGTTGCCACCTCACCTGGCTTGTTTTTCCTTTATTCTTTTTATAAGGAATGGGAATAGGATTGTCTCATCAAACTGCTTTTTGGGAGGCATGGTAACTTCGATTTTTACTTAAAAAGAGGTCATCTGTTCTAAATAAGTCATTCTATGGGGCAGGTGTGAGGAGGCCCCCCTTTAAGGCAAGCTTAAAGGAGTATGTTTAAATTTTTCCAGGAAGGGCAGTCTTCTGTGGAAATGGGAACCTGGGATTCCTAACTGGGCCTGGTGACAGGGTCACCATATTAATTGGTTCAGGGTCCCTGAGACATGCAGAGTAGGTAGGGAAGACAGTGGGGAACTTGAGAGAAAAGAGTCCTTCTGCCCAACTCCAAAGGATAGTAAGACAGGTGGAACACTACATGGTCCTTTTTGTCTCATTTAATTTCATGTGTCTCCATTTTACAGACCTAGAGGTTGGAGTGATAGGGCAGGGCTTTGGACATACTGATTTATTTATTCGAAGTGCACTGGGCCCTGGACTGTTACGAATCCATGAGATCAGGTGTCAAGAGAGTTCTTAATCTGAACACAGACAGTCTAAAGGGACAAGTGGTTTGTTTTTGTTTTGCTACTGGGGATTGAAACCAGGGGTGCTTTACCACTGAGCCATATCAAGGGTCTTTTTAATTTTTTGAGACCAGATCTTGCTAAATTGCTGGGATTACAGGCATGTGCCACTGTACCCAGCTTTCTGAAAGGGTCAAGGTATCCTAGTCCTTCTTCCTGCATGCACTTATCCATGTCTCCATCCCCTTGATCATGGCTTTAGCTCACCTCCCTCCACATCTTTTTCTGGCTCTATGCTGGTCTTCCATCCTAACCTTCCAGTTGACCTTGACTCTGACACCTACAACACTTTTCTACTTCCTTTCCCTCATGCTTATGAACAGGAATTACTGTAAGTTTAGTTCCATGTGCTGTCTAGCATTTACCTCCTTGCTTTGGCCCTGGGTGATCTGGTCACACTCATGAAGTCTGCTGGCTGAGGCCTTGGAGTGGCCTTGTTCTACTATGGGGTGTTCAGAGGAATAAGTAACTGGTTATGTGGCTTGAAAGATAGATGCAGAGTAGGCAGGAGGGCTTAGGGTTCTGCACAAATGTTAGATAAAACTGTAGAAACGGCTATTGTCACCCAGGGAAGGAAGATGAGCAAAGATGGATGTTTAGAACAACCCTAGGGACCTTAGGAATTTAAGATAAAAGTAGGGTATGGCCAGACTGGTAGGAGAATCAGTCAAACAAGGACTACCTCACAAGGGAAGGGAAAGTAATAAGGACCTGTTGGAGTGGTTACTGGTGGGCTACTGGCATGGCTGGGTGGGAGTAGAGTATTACATATGCCAAACTGCTGTGCAGAATGACTTAGACAGTGATTTACTGTTATATATCCACTCAGTGTTCATATATGGAGTATCTGCTCTGTGCCAGGCCAGGGCTGGATACTGGGACACAGTCCAACCTTCAAGGCAACAATCAATGTGATCTGGGCCACACTGGGAGGTAGGGTTAAAGAAGCTCACAAAAATGTATGAGAACAAAGGTGGGTTTTGCCAGGAGGTACTGTCCTGGTTACCCTAGTGTGCCTCCAGCTAGGGGCTGCAGTGAGGGCCCAATAGCCACAAGGGTGCTCCAGAAGAGGTGACTTCCTTCCCTGAGCCTCTGCACAGTGTTGGGCAAGTCATTTCTATTCTGGTCTTGAAGCCTGCCCAGTTCCCCAAGAGCCCTGTCTCTGAATAAGAACATGTCCCAGTCACCCAGAAAATAGACATTTATCAGGCATGGCCTGGGCTAGGTACCATGCTGCACTTAAAAAGTCCCACCCCCAGCTTTGCTATCTTGGAATGATGCCAATTGCCACACTGAACTTGAGGAAGCAGGGAAAAGGGGGGAAAAAAACAGGGCAGGAAGAATTAAGACTAGATCTGGCTTTTGGATGGCAAGTGAAGGGCACAGAGGAACTGCCAAATGGAAGTTGGAGCAGGGCTTAGAAGCTGTCTGTTTGGGGCTGGGGGTATAGCTCAGTGGTAGAGCGCTTGCCTAGCATGTATGAGGCACTGGGTTTGATTCTCAGCACTGCATATAAATAAACAAAAATAAAGATCCTCAATAACTTAAAAAAAAATGAAAAGACAAAAAAATAAAATAAAAAAAGCTGCTGCCTGTTTGGTGATGAGAAAGACTCGGTCCCTTGGTCAGAGAAGCCAGTCTATAGGGTCCTCTATGCCTATGACTTTTGGAGGAGAGGAAGAGTCTATAGCCATGACTGGACCCTTTGAGAGAAAATGTACTGATTGGTGGGATGCAAGCAGCTCAGGAGTAAATGCAAAAACAGCCAGATGCCCTTGTCATCACCCAGAACATGTTTCCTCCTCTATAAAAACAGGCATAAGGATAATGGTGCTCACAGTGCTGCCTTGAGATTCAGATGAAAAAGGATGTGGCACATCCATGTGGCAGAGCAGCCTACCTGCAACTAAAGGCAAAGACCCTTATTGTCCCTATTACTAAAACCTCCAAGCTTTGCTCTCTGAGACTGACAGGTAGTCCTGGTCTTATCTAGCATCCAGTTCCAGAAAGGGAACTAGGCCTGGACAAAAATGTGTTACTAGCCTGGCTAGGTGCTACACCAAACTGGCACTTTTACTGTAGAGTACCTTAGCACCCAACGTTTTGGGGAATGCTGGGTCAGTTTCTAGCTGGAAACCACTTAGGGAAATGGCCTAGCCCCAGCTTCATTAGGACACTGATCAAGCCACCCTTCTCAGAGCCTATTTTCACCTCTGCTATACATGGATCATAGCATCACCACTCTCTTGGGGGGGGGGTGTCACAGGAGGACTGAAGTGACATATTCATGTGTGGAAGTTGCTGTTCCCTTACTAGACATCCACAAGATCCCTCTGCAGGCCTTGATACACTCTAGATTCTTCTGCTTGTCCATTGTTGATTATACCCCATTTGCTTCCCTCCGGGGACATAAGAACACCACTGTGTGCCTCTTATGAAGAGGATGGGAAAAGGGAGAGAGCTCGAAGGCCCCAGCCACCCTTTCCCACTCTCCAAGAGCTCAGGCTCCTGGCACTACCCACCTCCAAAGGAAGGAAGAAACCCACACAATCAAACCAGTGTTGGAGAGCATTTTTATTAAGGGCAGCAGAATGGGATCGCAGCATCTTAGAAAGCCTATTCTCCACCGTTGCGGAGAGGGACAGGAGGAAGACCCAGGGCACTTCAAAGAACTAGGCAGATGTGAAATCCTGAGCCAGCACGGGTCAGTGATAGGTGGCTACTCTACAGCTCTCCTCTCCTCCAGAGGATCCAGCTTTTGGTTTTGGAGCAGCCAGGGCTGGCCACCAGCTTGCTCAAAGCCTGCCTTGGGGCACGGCTAGAAGGAACAAGCCACCCAGGCCAAAGGGAAGTACACCCACTAGAGAGCCAGGCCTCTGCTGCCGGGGCAGACCATAGGGTGCCAGTGCCAGAGCTGAGAGTCCCTGAGAGGGGCTGCTGGCATAAGGGGTACCTTCCCACAGTGAGCAGAGAGCAGTGAGTGGGTGACAGGCAGGCAGAGCTACATTGGCAGAATATGAAGCAATGGGACAGTTTCCAAGAATGGCAATATTTCTAGATTCAGAGAAGCAACAAGAACAAATGGTGGTTTGTTTGGATATCTTCTAACCATTTGGCATTTTATTACAAATCTGCGTATGAGTGAAATAAAATCCATTATCACCTTTCTATTAATGGACAGATGTGGAAACACTGGCCCAGTGCTCTTGCCATCCTGGACACGGGAGTCTCCAGAAACCTGTCCCTCGAGTACCTAGGACTAAAGAAGCTGAGCTCATTACACCCCGCAGGGGCCACTTGCTTGGACAACTAAACAGTGTTATGCTCCCTAACCTATCCATCACTTCTCACATCTGCACAGACGAAACCCAGACCTGACTTACACGGCTATGAGCCCTGAAAGATCTCAAGTTATAGAATTAAAGTCAAAAAAGAAAGCAAAGTTTCTTGAAGTCATCTTCTCTAGAGGATCTAGTCCCCCCAGTAGCCAAGAAGAAAAGCCGCCAGTGGCAGAAGCAGAGTTGGTGACACACGGCGTTTGGATCATCAGCTTCCTCGGTATCAGAATGCCATATATTCTCTACTGTTTCAGGGACAGTCCCACTTGCCTTGAAAAGACATTAACATTCAAATCCTTACAAAGTTCATCTGATGATAACCTCTAAGGTCAATTTTTATTTCTACAAAAAAAGGCAATCAAAACAATATAAAACACATTGAAAGGATATTATTGAGCGAGCATCAAGTGGAGCTTGACTCTGCAAAGGTTGTTGAGTCCAAAGGGAGAGGAAAGGCCATCTTGTTCCTGGGATGAGCCGGCGGCTGCTCTGAAGGAAGGGGCCAGCAGAGACCCCAGTGACCCCAGATTGGTGCCAGCTACAAAGCTGAGTCCTGCCAATTCTGATCCCGCAAAGGGTCAAACTGTGCCAAGGAAGGGCTGTGGTGGGGCTGCTGCGCTGAGGAGTTGGAGAGCTCCGTGGCACATTCAGATGGAACTTAGAATTTCAAATGGATATTCTGGCTTTTACTTTGCCTGCGATGAGCAGTGGATCTTCTAACATGGCTGCAGAAAAGGGTGCTGGCCTTCAGCCTGATCAGGAGCCTTTCTGGCGAGAAATTCATCGCACAAGTGCGCAGCGTCCTTGGCTGGCAGGCCCTTTCTCTGGGGTCACCATAGACCTGACATTACAGGGTTTCCCTGGCCAGGCTGTAGTTCAATCATTATACAGACATCAGGGTTTGCCCTTTTAATCCATACTGTTGTGGAAACATTAGCCAGATTTTTACACAAGGAGTGGGCCTCCCTTTGCACAGCATTTTTTTCCCCCCCGGGGGAGGAAGGTGGAGTTGCTTGTTTTGTAATTTTTTAAAAGAATGTTATAAATTGGCAGCAGGAGAATTTGAACTAACTCCCACATGGGACAGTGTGATACTGGAGAAGAAAAGCCACAAGAGCCATTTCTTCTCCTTTGTGGAGCAGAGAGGAATTGGTTCTGGGGAAGTAAATACATGAACAATAAACTGAATGCAAGAAAGTGGGAGTTGCAAGGGCAGGGAAGGAAGGGGAACCACAACCTTATTTTTTTTAACCTTATGGGCTAAATGTAACTTGAAGATTTGGGGTAAATTTGGACAAAAGAAACACCATTCTTTTGAAGTAGATTGAAGCAGTGATTTTTAAAACAAAGAAAGCAGAACTAGAACATCTGAAATTTTTAATCCTTTCTTTACAGGTTACCTAGACCACTTTTGATTAAGAAAACTGTAGAAAGTTAGTAACTGCCACAAGCAAACGCCAGGCGGTGGCACGTGTCAATTTTCCACAGAGTCCTGCTTTGCGGGGTGTCTGAATGCACTGCTCGGGGTCTCTGCTCACACTTGCTGGAATCACTTGCGGCAGATTTTAGTCCACAGGTCGCTTTTCCCCATATTTCTTTGTAAACTCTTCAGCGTTCTTACAGAATTTTTTACGGTCCTTAGAGTATTCTTCAGCTAGGTCAGCCCGGAGCGGGTGCTCGGGCTGGGGGTCGTTCACCAGTGCTATGAGGGACTGGATTACTGCCAAGAGAAGGACAAGGCATTGGGCATTAGAATAGTCTCAGAAAGTGCATGGGCAAAAGGCAGCTAACCTCAGGATAGAAATTCTGTGACTTCAACATTGACTTATATCTACTGCTTTTAAGACAACATATTCTCTTTATTAAAAATTCTGACTACCAAAACTCAACCCATCACTCCTCTGTAATTAAGAGAAAGCGATGGATGACAGTCAACACTACTTTGGATTGCTGATGCCACGGGCTCCTCTACTAATGGACTCATGCTTTTCACCCAGTGTTGCAAGGAATGAAATCAAATGCTGACATAGGCTGCCTCCCGCACAGAGGCATGACCAGTCAATAACATGTTGAGTAAAGGTTATAGCACAAAGACCACCTGCCCCAATGTTTCTAGAAGTTCTTTTGACCACAGTTGGCCCAGGTGAGGTTTGGGGCAAAGATGAGGAAAGTTTGGCACATGCAGGGCCAAGGCTGAATGGGGTGAATAGTGGCTAGGTCACCAAGTGCAGAGTGTGGACAGTGTAGAATGAGCAGGGGTCAAGAATCTGGAAGGCTCTCTTCAGGCCAAGATAGTCTTTAATTCAATCTCCACACCCCTTGAACAGATACTATCATCTCCCTACCTGTACCCACCACAGGTAGTAGTATCTCTAGAGGAACTGGAGGCATATTTTTATCTTTTTATTTCAAGATTTGCCCTTTGCAGATTTTATTCTCACCTGAATGAGCAGAAATGATGGTAAAGCTTTTCAGTTCCTATTCTTTTTTTTCTCAATTGTTGATAGATCTTTATTTATTTATAATTTATATATGGTACTAAGAATTGAACCTAGTGCCTCTTGCATGCCAGGAAAGTGCCCTACCATTAAGCCATAGTCCCAGCCCCCTGTTCCTATTCTCCTGATGCCAACCATTCCACAGTTTGCTCTATATCCAAAGATTTCCTTATTGTTTATTTAGTATGTTTCCTTAAATCACCAAGTCTTTAACAGAAGACAAGGAAATACCAGTGACTCAAATGGGAAATCACTTTTATTTGTCTTAAACAAGGAGTGTTTTAATAAACATTAAAACAGGACCAGAAGTATAGCTCAGTGGTAGAGTAATTGCCCAGCATATACAAAGCTTGGGTTTGATCTCCAGCACTAAAAAGAAAAATAACAACATGAAAATAATCACTTGAGCCATCCTGGCCATACAGGGGAGTGACCACACAAATACTCTTTGAAAGAAGACTCTCAAGGCTTCTATGAAAACCTGCCTTCAGAGCCAGGCATAGTGACACATACCTGAAAACTCAGCTACTAGGGAAGCTGAGGCAGCAGAATCACAAGTTTGAGGTCAGCCTCAGCAACTTAATGAAACCCTATCTCAAAAAGAAATTTTAAAAGGCTAGGGGTGCTAGGGATGTAGCTCTCTGTTTTAGAGCACTTTGCAACAACTTAGAAGGCTAAGACAGGAGGAAGCAAGTTTGAGGCCATCCTGGGCAACTTAAACCTCATACCACCCTCCCCAAAGCCCCCCCCAAATCAAACAAAACCTGCTCTCTAGGTGGTATTATTTCAGTGTAAGCTAAGCTTTTCTCCAATAAGAGGGGAAACTGTTCTCTTCCCCCCCTATTTTTTATCTTTTTTAAGTTGTAGATGGACACAGTATGTTTATTTTATTTTTATGTGGTTCTGAGGATTGAACCTAGTGCCTTCCACATACGAGTCGAGCACTGAGCTACAACCCCAGCCCTGCTTTGTTGTTCTTGAGAGCTTGTTTGGAGTTCTGAGGGGAGCGCAGCTACTCAAATAACCTGGATTAAAGAACAGTCCTCCTCTGACTAAGTGTGCAGCTTCACACATGAAGTGCTGATGGAGGAAGGGGACAGCCACCTAGCCAGCCAGAGCAGCCAAATCAATCCTGGCGATCAATGGGGTGACATATGCTGCAGTCAGATGGCCCTTATTGTTCTTGACTTCAGGCTTGGAAACCCAAACCACATTTGCCTGATAGTACTGATAATAAGTGATTTCCCATCTTTTTAGAATCAGAAATGGTTCTGGAACAGTAGAATCACTATCTGCTTAGCACTTCAGGAACCTCAGTGGACTAAGGGAGGCTAAGTGCTGCTATGTGAGGGGACGCTGATGAGTTTTCATCTCCTGTTCACCATCTTTTATGGATGTTTAGGCTCTCTACTTCTCATCGGCATCATCTTAGTGCCTAATAATATATCAGTATAAAACCACTTAGTTACACTAGTGCCTCCTCACTACGTCATTCTTTTCTGAAAACTCAATTTTATTATTTGATCATGTCTAAATTTTTTTTTTCAACCAAGAGATTTTATTGGGGGCTGCCCAAAGGAGAAGAAAAAGAGAAGCAGAGAGAAACAGAAAGAGCAGAGAGAAAGAGAAAGGGTAGAAAGAGGAGAGAAAGAGAAGAGGGCAGAGAGCGTGTATGTCTAAATATTTTAATGTAGTATTTCTTTTTTTTTTTTTGAGAAAGAGAATTTTTTTTAATATTTATTTTTTAATTATCGGCAGACACAACATCTTTGTTTGTGGTGCTGAGGATCGAACCCGGGCTGCACGCATGCCAGGTGAGCGCGCTACTGCTTGAGCCATATCCCCAGCCCCGATTAATGTAGTATTTCTGATAAGTATTTCATTCTTTGTTTCTTTGGCTGAATTTCTGGCTCCTCATCCAAACTAGAGTAACTTAAGCAGAGCTGGACTTATTTTGCTAGTGAGAACACTAATAGCTACCACTGTTTTTCAAACTACCATTGTGGTCCTATCTTGTTATTTTTCACATAAAGGGCAGCACACTAATCATATTCTACAATGGTCTGGTCCTGGTTTCTTTTATTTTTTTTTAAATCTATTTTTTAGTTGTAGTTGGACACAATACCTAGGACCTTTTATATGCTAGGCAAGTCCTCTACTGATGAGCCACAACCCCAGCTCCCTGGTTTCTTTTTTTAGAGATAGAATCTCACTATGTTGCCCAGACTGGTCTCAAACTCTTGGTTGGGCTCAAATGATCCACCTACCGCGGCACCCTTTTATTTTTATTTAAAAAAAATTTTTTTTTAAAGTTGTAAGTGAATGCAATACTTTTATTTTTTATGTGATGCAGAGGACAGAACCCAGTGCCTCACAAGTGCAAGGTAAGTGCTCTACCACTGAGCTACCACTGCCACCCCTAGATTCTTGAACTCTTCTTTACCCACATGCTCCTCAATCATTTTTTAGGGCTTTCCAGGTGCGATATCCCAGCTTGATACATGTTTTTAAGCCCCTGCATTTTGGAGGCAGGCCTATAGTCCCTCAAGAGGCTGAGGTGGGAAGATTCCTGGGCAACATAGCAAGACCTCACCTCAAAAAATAAAAAAATCAAATTTTACTTCTTAACGTCACTGTGTTATCATCTGAGAAAAAAAAAAGCTTATGGCTGGGAATGTGGCTCAGGCGGTAGCGCTCTCGTCTGGCATGCGTGCGGCCCGGGTTCGATCCTCAGCACCACATACCAACAAAGATGTTGTGTCCGCCGAGAACTAAAAAAATAAATATTAAAAATTCTCTCTCTTTCTCTCTCTCCTCTCTCACTCTCTCTTACAGAACCCTAAAAAGAGAAGTAGAAGAAGATCTTAGAAGATGGAAAAATATACCCTGTTCATGGATAGGCAGAACTAACATTATCAAAATGGCGATATTACCAAAAGTTCTCTATAGGTTTAATGCAATGCCAATCAAAA